GTTGGGGCTGGTGTATACAGGTGTACAGTTAGGGCTGGTGTATACAGGTGTACAGTTAGGGGGCTGGTGTATACAGGTGTACAGTTAGGGGCTGGTGTATACGGGTGTACAGTTGGGGGCTGGTGTATACAGGTGTACAGTTGGGGGGCTGGTGTATACAGGTGTACAGTTGGGGGGCTGGTGTATACAGGTGTACAGTTGGGGGGCTGGTGTATACAGGTGTACAGTTGGGGGGCTGGTGTATACAGGTGTACAGTTGGGGGGCTGGTGTATACAGGTGTACAGTTGGGGCTGGTGTTACAGGTGTACAGTTGGGGGCTGGTGTATACAGGTGTACAGTTGGGGGGCTGGTGTATACAGGTGTACAGTTGGGGGGCTGGTGTATACAGGTGTACAGTTGGGGCTGGTGTATACAGGTGTACAGTTGGGGCTGGTGTATACAGGTGTACAGTTGGGGCTGGTGTATACAGGTGTACAGTTGGGGGCTGGTGTATACAGGTGTACAGTTGGGGCTGGTGTATACAGGTGTACAGTTAGGGGCTGGTGTATACAGGTGTACACTTGGGGGCTGGTGTATACAGGTGTACAGTTAGGGGCTGGTGTATACAGGTGTACAGTTGGGGCTGGTGTATACAGGTGTACAGTTAGGGGCTGGTGTATACAGGTGTACAGTTGGGGGCTGGTGTATACAGGTGTACAGTTGGGGGCTGGTGTATACAGGTGTACAGTTGGGGCTGGTGTATACAGGTGTACAGTTAGGGGCTGGTGTATACAGGTGTACAGTTGGGGGCTGGTGTATACAGGTGTACAGTTGGGGGCTGGTGTATACAGGTGTACAGTTAGGGGCTGGTGTATACAGGTGTACAGTTAGGGGCTGGTGTATACAGGTGTACAGTTGGGGGCTGGTGTATACAGGTGTACAGTTAGGGGCTGGTGTATACAGGTGTACAGTTGGGGGGCTGGTGTATACAGGTGTACAGTTAGGGGCTGGTGTATACAGGTGTACAGTTAGGGGCTGGTGTATACAGGTGTACAGTTGGGGGCTGGCGTATACAGGTGTACAGTTAGGGCTGGTGTATACAGGTGTACAGTTAGGGGGCTGGTGTATACAGGTGTACAGTTAGGGGCTGGTGTATACAGGTGTACAGTTGGGGGCTGGTGTATACAGGTGTACAGTTGGGGGCTGGTGTATACAGGTGTACAGTTAGGGGGCTGGTGTATACAGGTGTACAGTTGGGGGCTGGTGTATACAGGTGTACAGTTGGGGCTGGTGTATACAGGTGTACAGTTGGAGGCTGGTGTATACAGGTGTACAGTTTGGGGCTGGTGTATACAGGTGTACAGTTGGGGGCTGGTGTATACAGGTGTACAGTTTGGGGCTGGTGTATACAGGTGTACAGTTAGGGGCTGGTGTATACAGGTGTACAGTTGGGGGCTGGTGTATACAGGTGTACAGTTTGGGGCTGGTGTATACAGGTGTACAGTTAGGGGCTGGTGTATACAGGTGTACAGTTGGGGCTGGTGTATACAGGTGTACAGTTGGGGCTGGTGTATACAGGTGTACAGTTCGGGCTGGTGTATACAGGTGTACAGCAGTAAAACTTACCGCAGCAAGCCATATAGGATAAAAATATAATAATGAGAATACAACTTGAAAGATAACTTAGATAAGCTAACTACAGCTCTGCTCAGCATGATGAGGAAGCGTGAATTCATGCTTTATTTTATTTTCATTTTTGGAAGTCATTTATTCCTATTGAGAGTGTGTGCCGCTCCAGTCCTCCCAATACCAGAGTAGCAGCATGAGTGAAGATTCGCAATGTTCGTCTTGTGTTGAATTGTTGTGTTCCTGGGTCGTATGTGTCTCATTTGAACATGTTGAAGCTTGCTCGACTTGTGGGTGGCAGACGGAAGTTTTCGGTGTTAAATATTGCTCGTTCCTGCCAGTTTGTGCGGGTTGGATTACCTCCAGTCATTACTGAAGAACTCGTATTTGAATTTGCTGTGTCGCAATAACGAGTCTAACAATATTAATAGCAAGCTTAGTGTTCATTCCGTTGTCATGGTATGAATATAGTGAAGATTAAGTTCTTTTAATCGGTTAGTTGAGTCATGGCTTAGTTTCCGTTGTTTTGAAGCGTCTTCATATTTCTAGTCTGTTCCAGATCTTATGTATACTATGTACACTGTTTAGTAGTTTAGTGTTGAATTGTCAGAGTCTATTCCTTAATATAGTCCCGAGTACCTTTGAGCTTTGAGGCGACTATAACATGGGCCCGACAGCTGATACTGCTTGCTAAACCTAGCGAGAACCAACAATACCCAATATTCAATAATACCAGTCAACTCATCTGTGGTCTTTAGTATTAATATTGTATGCGTAGCTTTACCTAGTAATTTTTCTTTTTTTTTTTTTTAGATACGTACAAGAGTTGTTACATTCTTGTACAGCCACTAGTACGCGTAGCGTTTCGGGCAGGTCCCTGGAATACGATCCCCGCCGCGAAGAATCGTTGTTACAACCAAGTGCACATTTTACTGTTGAGTTAAACAGAGGCTATAGTTAAGGATTTGCGCCCAGTAAATCCTCCCCGGCCAGGATACGAACCCATGACAAAGCGCTCGCGGAACTCCAGGCGAGTGTCTTACCACTACACCACGGAGACTGGTGATAGACTATCAGTATTGTCATAAGAGTGGAGAGGGTGAAGCCAGGTATCATTAATTTTCTTCCAAGAAGTATAATAAACCATTTAACCTTTCCCATGTGTGGGCTGTATCACAACATAGCAGTAGCAGGCATCCATCGGTCTCGGGAGATTATGGTGTTGCGCTCTGGTTGTGGGTCTGGAGTGAGCTCTCCAGGGCGCAAAGCCTGGGTAGGTTGATACGGGAGAGAAGCTGTTACCCAAGCAGCAGGTCCCTCCCCCTCCCTATCCAAGGCACGGAAAGTCATCAATGGAAAGGCAAACACCAATACGATTGGTTCAAGCGCCGTCTCAGGAACTGTGAGCTCCGGAATTGACTTCGAAGTTTGTAAAAGAAGGCACAGGGACTCCAAACCCGGACACCGCCGTGGTCGGGGCCGGAGAAGAACCGCCCCATCAAGGTCAAGAACGACCCCCCAGCCTCCTGAAGCAGAGCCTGGGCCGCACGAGCCCCAGGAGGTGGACGGCCCGGTCCCGCACCTACGGGTTCCTGACAGTGATCGTCACAGCCCTCTTTCACCCGAGGCCCGCTTCCTTCATGACCAAGCAGAAGGAAGAGTGATAATTATTAATTAACTATAATGTTATTATAATATTTATAATAATATAATTGGAATACAACAAACTTTAGAAGGCCTCTTGGACAATGAGCGGCAGCTCTAACTTATTCCCAACCAAATACTTTCTTGATTGGAATATTGTTGCACAATAAGAGCCCCATTCAAATCTGGAGAAATTGCTGCCCTGGAGAGCGTCCAAAGATCTTTAACCCCAAAAATCCACTCAATAAAACTTCTAAATTATTGGGATCACCTAAAAAAAATTAAATCTGTATTTCCTGGGGCGCAGGGAAGAGAGATACATAATAATTTACTCTTGGAAAATATCCGGAGGACTGGTTCCAAACCTGCACACAGAAATAACAGCACACGAGACCAGAAGGCATGGCAGGGTGTGCAAAATAGCCCAACAGAAGAGCACATGTGCAATAGGCACGCTGACAGAGAACTCGATCAACATCAAAGTGACTTTTCAACACTTTCCCTACACATAACTGGCCGACCTCTTACAGTGTTCAAAAGGTAACTCGATAAGCATCTTCAAAAAATACCTGATCAACCAGGCTGTGACTGGTTCGTCAAGCTGCGTGCAGCCGCATCGAACAGCCTGGTTGATCAGACCAACAACCAGGAGGACTGGTCAGAGACTGGACCGTAGGGACGTTGATCCTAGAAATCATCATCAGGTAGTCAAACTAGTAATTTTTTCTATAAATCAACAGCAGTATTCGCAAACCTATATTTACCCAGATCTTTTATGAATATAAACCTTTCCAATTTGTATTCATTGTTTCGTGTTCTATTTAGTGCTATAAATTCAACACCTCATTAATTCCCCCCCCCCTCTTTTTATCTCAGTTTCACCCTTATGTATAGTGCAGTTTTGTCACCCCCTACTCTTTTTCTCGTTGCTAGAGAATGTACATAAAATTTTCTTATTGTGCTGTTTGATACTAACAATGACGCTCATTACAATGATGAAGCTTGACACAGGGGATCGGAGGACCATAGCCAGGTGCTGGAAATTGATGTATGGCAGAGGCCTCAGCTTTCCTCCGTGTGGGGGTAGCCTGCAGTATAGTTCAGGTGCATCACTTACCAACCATACATGCACGCTCAACTACCACTGATGTCTACTGGGCGTTATTCAAAAGTACTTTGATATCAACTTTGTTAATAAAATTCTATAAAAAATTAATTAAACAGTCAATTAGTTTCTTTGAATCTAATTAGATATATAGACATTTTCTAGTAAGGTATCATTATACTAAGTCGCTTTTAATCTTAATCTAAATTTAGATAGCCGGTCAAATTTTTGGCGGGAAATCTGACAAAAATGGTTAACTGTGTGACCGTGTTGGTCCGAGACAGAAATCATGACTGCCATCAGAGAAGAGAAAGAATTGCTCTAAGGTTTTTATGGACTAAGCCCCCACGCCTGGCTAGCCATAAATATTATTTCTTAGGGGGTAGAGCATGAGAGTGGGAGGTAGTCTGGCGTCAAACACCGACAACCTCGTGTTAAAGTGACAACTGGCACCTGAGGCAAAGGTGAAGGGTCACCTACAGGAGGCATAGCCGGGGCTACACTCCCACACTTACACCTACACCCTTGTACACCCACCCTTACACCCCCTCCCTTCCACGCCCACCCTTACGTCTTCATCTTACGCACTCATCCTTACACCCCACCCACCCTTATAGTGTCACCTTTACACCTCCACCCTTTCAGCCCGCCCTCACACCCCTGATCCATACATATCTTCCCTTTCATTCCAGTCCTACATCCCGACCTATTCAACCAGCAACATCTCAGCCCCTGCAACCTGCACCTCAGTCCCCGTCAACCTGCACCTCAGTCCCCGTCAACCTGCACCTCAGTCCCCGTCAACCTGCACCTCAGTCCCCGTCAACCTGCACCTCAGTCCCCGTCAACCTGCACCTCAGTCCCCGTCAACCTGCACCTCAGTCCCCGTCAACCTGCACCTCAGCCCCCGTCAACCTGCATCTCAGCCCCCGTCAACCTGCACCTCAGCCCCCGTCAACCTGCACCTCAGCCCCCGTCAACCTGCACCTCAGCCCCCGTCAACCTGCACCTCAGCCCCCGTCAACCTGCACCTCAGCCTCCTTCAACCTGCACCTCAGCCTCCTTCAACCTGCACTTCAGCCTCCTTCAACCTGCACCTCAGCCTCCTTCAACCTGCACCTCAGCCTCCTTCAACCTGCACCTCAGCCCCCGTCAACCTGCACCTCAGCCCCCGTCAACCTGCACCTCAGCCCCCGTCAACCTGCACCTCAGCCCCCGTCAACCTGCACCTCAGCCTCCTTCAACCTGCACCTCAGCCCCTGCAACCTGCACCTCAGCCCCCTGCAACCTGCACCTCAGCCCCCTTCAACCTGCACCTCAGCCCCCTTCAACCTGCACCTCAGCCCCTTCAACCTGCACCTCAGCCCCTTCAACCTGCACCTCAGCCCCTTCAACCTGCACCTCAGGCCCCGTCAACCTGCACCTCAGGCCCCGTCAACCTGCACCTCAGGCCCCGTCAACCTGCACCTCAGGCCCCGTCAACCTGCACCTCAGGCCCCGTCAACCTGCACCTCAGGCCCCGTCAACCTGCACCTCAGGCCCCGTCAACCTGCACCTCAGGCCCCGTCAACCTGCACCTCAGGCCCCGTCAACCTGCACCTCAGCCCCCGTCAACCTGCACCTCAGTCCCCGTCAACCTGCACCTCAGCCCCCGTCAACCTGCACCTCAGCCTCCTTCAACCTACACCTCAGCCTCCTTCAACCTGCACCTCAGCCTCCTTCAACCTGCACCTCAGCCTCCTTCAACCTGCACCTCAGCCTCCTTCAACCTGCACCTCAGCCTCCTTCAACCTGCACCTCAGCCTCCTTCAACCTGCACCTCAGCCTCCGTCAACCTGCACCTCAGCCTCCGTCAACCTGCACCTCAGCCTCCGTCAACCTGCACCTCAGCCTCCGTCAACCTGCACCTCAGCCTCCGTCAACCTGCACCTCAGCCTCCGTCAACCTGCACCTCAGCCTCCGTCAACCTGCACCTCAGCCTCCGTCAACCTGCACCTCAGCCTCCGTCAACCTGCACCTCAGCCGCCGTCAACCTGCACCTCAGCCGCCGTCAACCTGCATCTCAGCCCCCGTCAACGTGCACCTCAGCCCCCTTCAACCTGCACCTCAGCCCCTGCAACCTGCACCTCAGCCTCCTTCAACCTGCACCTCAGCCTCCTTCAACCTGCACCTCAGCCTCCTTCAACCTGCACCTCAGCCTCCTTCAACCTGCACCTCAGCCGCCGTCAACCTGCATCTCAGCCCCCGTCAACGTGCACCTCAGCCCCCTTCAACCTGCGCCTCAGCCCCTGCAACCTGCACCTCAGCCTCCTTCAACCTGCACCTCAGCCTCCTTCAACCTGCACCTCAGCCTCCTTCAACCTGCACCTCAGCCTCCTTCAACCTGCACCTCAGCCTCCTTCAACCTGCACCTCAACCCCCGTCAATTTGCACCTCAGCCCCCGGCAACCTGTACCTCAGCCCCCGTCAACCTGCACCTCAGCCCCTGCAACCTGCACCTCAGCCTCCTTCAACCTGCACCTCAGCCTCCTTCAACCTGCACCTCAGCCTCCTTCAACCTGCACCTCAGCCTCCTTCAACCTGCACCTCAGCCTCCTTCAACCTGCACCTCAGCCTCCTTCAACCTGCACCTCAGCCTCCTTCAACCTGCACCTCAGCCTCCTTCAACCTGCACCTCAACCCCCGTCAATTTGCACCTCAGCCCCCGGCAACCTGTACCTCAGCCCCCGTCAACCTGCACCTCAGCCCCTGCAACCTGCACCTCAGCTTCCTTCAACCTGCACCTCAGCCTCCTTCAACCTGCACCTCAGCCTCCTTCAACCTGCACCTCAGCCTCCTTCAACCTGCACCTCAGCCTCCTTCAACTTGCACCTCAGCCTCCTTCAACCTGCACCTCAGCCTCCTTCAACCTGCACCTCAGCCTCCTTCAACCTGCACCTCAGCCTCCTTCAACTTGCACCTCAGCCCCTGCAACCTGCACCTCAACCTCCTTCAACCTGCACCTCAGCCTCCTTCAACCTGCACCTCAGCCTCCTTCAACCTGCACCTCAGCCTCCTTCAACTTGCACCTCAGCCTCCTTCAACCTGCACCTCAGCCTCTTTCAACCTGCACCTCAGCCTCCTTCAACTTGCACCTCAGCCTCCTTCAACCTGCACCTCAGCCTCCTTCAACCTACACCTCAGCCTCCTTCAACCTGCACCTCAGCCTCTTTCAACCTGCACCTCAGCCTCCTTCAACCTGCACCTCAGCCTCCTTCAACCTGCACCTCAGCCTCCTTCAACCTACACCTCAGCCTCCTTCAACCTGCACCTCAGCCTCTTTCAACCTGCACCTCAGCCTCCTTCAACCTGCACCTCAGCCTCTTTCAACCTGCACCTCAGCCTCCTTCAACTTGCACCTCAGCCTCCTTCAACCTGCACCTCAGCCTCCTTCAACTTGCACCTCAGCCTCCTTCAACCTGCACCTCAGCCTCCTTCAACTTGCACCTCAGCCTCCTTCAACCTGCACCTCAGCCTCCTTCAACCTGCACCTCAGCCTCCTTCAACTTGCACCTCAACCTCGTATGCTCTGTAAACCTATCCTCCCGACCCTTGCCAGACTCAACCTGCTCATTCTAATAATGCTCTACACCTCTCTCACAACACCCACAATGACGTTCAAGTCACCTCATTGCCCCATATGATTTTTCTCGTTGATTTATCACGCCATTATCATTTCTTGTGATATATAGTAGTAATTGCAGTAGCAGGCATCCATCAGTCTCGGGAGACTATGGAGTTGCGCTCTGGTTGTCGGTCTGGAGTGGCCTTTCCAGGGCGCAAAGCTTGAGTAGGTTGATACGGGGGAGAAGCTGTCACCCATGCAGCAGGTCTCTTCCCCTTTTCCACGGCGCCGAAAGTATCCAATGGAAATGCAAACCCCAATACGATTGGCGGGATTGGTTCCAGCGCCGTCGTAGGAACTGTCAGAATGATGTTGAAGGCAACAACGAACTGCCCCCAGGGGCTGCAGCTCCGGGGTTTATCTCGAAGTTGGTAAAAGAAGGCACAGGGACTCCAAACCCGGACACCGCCGTGGTCGGGGCCGGAGAAGAACCACCCCAGCAAGGTCAAGAACGACCCCAGCCTCCTGAAGCAGAGCCTGGGCCGCACGAGCCCCTGGAGGTGGACGTCCAGGTCCCGCACCTACGGGTTCCAGAGATCGTCACAGCCCTCTTTCACCCAGGGCCGACTTCCTTCATGTCCCAGAAGAATGGCAATTGACTTCAAAGGGTCTGTGGAAAATCAGACACGTTTATGTGTATATAGTGATTTTTCATCTTGTTACTATGCTCCTCTGATTCAGCAGAAGGAAGAGTAATAATTATTAATTACAACAATTATTATTATAATTATTATTATAATAATAATATAAATAATAATTATTACTCTTCCATCTGCTGGGTCATGAAAGAAGCCGGCCTCGGGTGAAATTGGCGTTTCCCCTCTGGATCGCCACACTGAGGCGCTGAAACAAGAAATTTGCGCCCCTTGGGTCTCTGGTGATGTCAACGAGCCTGGAACCCAATTCTTTCATAATTTTTTACATGCTGTTCATTCAAAACAGGCATTTTCTCAAATATAAATTAATATTATAATATATCAGCATATTGTGCATATATAGGCATAGGTTAGGTTATGTTAGGTGTTTAGGTTCTGTTGGTGATTATTTGTATTTGTAGTACGTGGGTGAAGCATTTACAGCGTTGTGGTTCGGACAAAAGTCGTCAGCGAAGCACTTGTAGCGTTGTGATTCGAACAAAATTCGTCAGTGAAGTACTTGTTCCGGAAATGTTCGAACGTCAGCAGTTGAGTCGTGTGTAAACCAGCCCGTCCTCCAAACAAAGATCCAAAAGTGATTCCATGCACCCGCCAAACCCCCTGTTTATGAATGAAAAGCGGTTTACACACGACTCACAACTGCTGACGTTCGAACACTTCCGGAACAAGTACTTCACTGACGAATTTTGTTCGAATCACAACGCTACAAGTGCTTCACCCACGTACTACAAATACAAATAATCGCCAACAGAACCTAAACACCTAACCTAACCTGTCCTATGCCTATATATGCACAATATGCTAATATATTATAATATTAATTTATACTTGAGAAAATTCCCGTTTTGAATGAACAGCAAGTTAAAATTTATGAATGCGTCTGTGGGGTTGACCGCTGGATGTAATGGACTTGAGTCGAGGACGGGTTGGTGTAAACCGTTTTTCATTCATAAACAGGGGGTTTGCTGGGTGCATGGAATCACTTTTGGATCTTCGTTTGGAGGACGGGCTGACACATGACTCATAGCTGATATCGTTCGAACACTTCCGCAACAAGTGCTTCACTGACGAGTTTTGTTTGAACCGCAATGCTGTAAATGCTTCACCCACGTACTACAAATACAAATAATCGCCAACAGAACCTAAATACCTAACCTAACCTAACCAGGGCCTAAATATGTACAATATGGCAATATAAAATAATAATTTATATTTGAGAAAAAGCCTGTTTTGAATGAACATCATGTTCAAATTTATGAATGCATCTTTGGTGTTAACCGCTGGATGGAATGGACTTGGTCCAAGGACGGGCGGGCTTTTTGCATACACGAGCTGGAAGACAGGTTCATGTTCGTAAAGAGGGTTCGAGTATTAATAAAAATCGTTGAGGTTTCTTTTTATAAAATCATTCATTAATAAGATGTTCACTTATAAATCTGTAATTGTATTTGGGCGTTCCCTTTAAGGTCTCTGAGGTATAGGACATGCTTTCACATACTTTGTGGTCACATAAAGTTTTAAGTCTTTCACTTTATAACACCACTGAACCTGTTCACCTACGCTCACCAACCTGAGAGATTGGCTCAAAACTTGCTAATATTCCAAGCTTAATTTCGTCAGGTTTAATACAATAAAGTCTCACGGAATGTGAAAAAATCTTAAATGACAAAGCATATTTTGCATTAAATGATTAAAGTTTATAAAATAGTGTAAGATGATGCACTGTTGTTCCCCGAGGCCCCTTGTAGTGAACTAAGACACACACTGTTGTTCCTCCCGGCCCTTGTAGTGAACTACCAGACACAGTTGTTCCCCGAGGCCCCTTGTAGTGAACTACCAGACACAGTTGTTCCCCGAGGCCCCTTGTAGTGAACTAAGACACACACTGTTGTTCCCGAGGCCCCTTGTAGTGAACTACCAGACACAGTTGTTCCTCCCGGCCCTTGTAGTAAACTACCAGCCACAGTTGTTCCTCCAGGCCCTTGTAGTAAACTACCAGACACAGTTGTTCCTCCAGGCCCTTGTAGTAAACTACCAGACACAGTTGTTCCTCCAGGCCCTTGTAGTAAACTACCAGACACAGTTGTTCCTCCAGGCCCTTGTAGTAAACTACCAGACACAGTTGTTCCTCCAGGCCCTTGTAGTAAACAGACATAAAGCGTACCTGAAGCCTCCTTAAGAAACCAGTTTTTCTGTCTTAATATGTCAGTGTAATTCATTTGTTGTATTTATATCCACATCTGTAATTAATGTTTTGGCTTTTGTAATTACACATTTTATTAATATTATAGAGATTTTCATTAAAACATAATAGGCGCCGGGTCTTGAAAATATTCCATACACGACCCTGACTACTTACAATATTAATATAACACGCCTTGCCGTCAAATTTGGAGCGTGGCATTTGCGTCTGGAGGTCTGGTTCAAGTATATTCCAGGGTTTAGTGTTGGGGTCAAGGTCTGTTAGCCGCGGTGGGTCACTGAGACCGCCACAAGAGCTTACTGATCAACCGGGTTAGTCAGTATTTATTGATTTATTTGTATTTATTTATGTATACAAGAGTTCTTACATTCTTGTTCAGACACCAGCACGCATAGCGTTTCGGGCAGGTCCTTAATCCTAGTTTTCCCCGGAATATGACCCCGCCAAATCCTTTAGCAACCAGAGACCAATTCATTGCTGGGTGAACAGAGGCTACAGTTAAGAATTGGCTCCCAGTAAATCTACCCAGGCCAAGAAACGAATCCAGGCCAAAGCGCTCGCGAAGCACCAGGCGAGTGTTTTTACCACTGCGCCACGGAGACTGCCTTGTAGAGTAAGGCTGACTGGAACTGGCAGGGAGGGAGGGAGGGAGAGGTACTGACACCACAAGGCTAAGCTCTTGTGGTGTTGTAATAACCCTCCCACGGTTGATAAGCCTCATGCTCAGCATTAAACCCAATGTATATGTGGGAAATAAAAGTTGAGCAAGAGCTGCTACAGCAGACTGTTCGTCATAGATAGTAAGGTAGTGTGTGCCCACGGTCTTGGTAACAGTACATCCAGTGTATTTCTTCCCTTAGGAATATGTATGCCCAATCCCTTCCCTGGTTGTGTGTGTGTACTCACCTCACCAATTCGTGCTTGCAGGATCGAGCATTGACTCTTGGATCCCGCCTTTCCAGCCATCGGTTGTTTACAGCAATGACTCCTGTCCCATTTCCCTATCATACCTAATTTTAAAAGTATGAATAGAGTTTGCTTCCACAACCTGTTCCCCAAGTGCATTCCATTTTCCCACTACTCTCACGCTAAAAGAAAACTTCCTAACATCTCTGACTTATCTGAGTTTCCAGTTTTCACCCATGTCCCCTCGTTCTGTTACTATTACGTGTGAACATTTCATCTATTTCCACTTTGTCAATTCCCCTGAATATTTTAGATGTCCTTAACATATCTCCTCTCTCCCTTCTTTTCTCTAGTGTCGTAAGGTTCAGTTCCTTCAGACGCTCTTCATATCCCATCCCTCGTAACTCTGGGACAAGCCTCGTCGCAAACCTCTGAACCTTCTCCAGTTTCCTTATGTGTTTCTTCAAGTGGGGGGGCTCCATGATGGCGCGGCATACTCTAAGACTGGCCTCACGTAGGCAGTGTAAAGCGCCCTAAAAGCCTCCTCACTTAGGTTTCTGAATGAAGTTCTAATTTTCGCCAGTGTAGAGTACGCTGCTGTCGTTATCCTATTTATATGTGCCTCAGGAGTTAGATTAGGTGTTACGTCCACTCCCAGCTCTTTCTCGAATCGTTACAGGTAGGCAGTTTTCATTGTGTATTGTCCCTTTGGTCGCCTATCACCTGATCCCATTTCCATAACTTTACATTTACTCGTGTTGAAATCCAGTAGCCATTTCCCTGACCATCTCCGCAACCTGTAAGTCCTCTTGGAGGATCCTACAATCCTCATCTGTCACAACTCTTCTCATTAATTTTGCGTCATCCGCAAACATTGACATGTATGATTCCACTCCTGTAAACATATCATTTACGTAAATTAGAAAGAGGATTGGTCCCAGCACCGATCCTTGAGGTACTCCACTCGTTACTGTTCGCCAGTCCGACTTCTCGCCCCCCTTACCGATACCCTCTGGCTCCTTCCTATTAGGTAGTTCCTCACCCATGCTAGGGCCTTTCCGCTTACTTCTGCCGGCCTCTCAAATTTGTATAGCTGTCTGATGTGCGGTAATGTATCAAAGGCCTTTTGGCAGTCAAGAAATATGCAGTCTGCCTAGCCTTCTCTGTCCTGCCTTAACCTTGTTACTTTATCATAGAATTCTAAAAGGTTTGTTAGGCGTGTGTGTGTGTGTGTGTGTGTGTGTGTGTGTGTGT